TTTCTTTCTATTTCACATTACCTATTATACATTTTAGTCCTTATTTACACTTTCAGTTTCTCACAGCAGAGAAACTATTCGGTATTTATACATGTGTGTCCTATTTATTTCACTTAAGAGGATTGCCTAATGAGAAATTAGAGACATTTATAGCTAAGTGGATGCACATTGAACATTTCTTCAAATATCATATATTTGTTGACCATTTGTATTTCTTCCTCTGTGAACTGTCTCTTCATTTCTCTTGCCCATTTCTTGACTGAGTCTTTAATTGTATGTAGTTTAATCTTTTGAAGTTCTTTGTATGTTCTAGATATTATTCCTCTATCTGAGGAGTAGCTGACAAAATTTTTTTCCTATTCTGTAGGTTGTCTCTTCACTCTACTAATTGATTCTTTTGCTGTATAGAAGTTTTTTAGTCTGATATAATCCCATTTGGTGATTCTTGCTTTTATTTCTTGTGCAATTGAGGTTCTGTTTAGAAAATTTTTTCCTACACCTATGTCTTCAAGTGTTTTATTTTCCCAGACACATTCAGCTATTTGATCTTTGACAAAGGGACCAAAAGCATATGTTGGAGTAAAGATAGCCTATTCAACAAATGATTCTGGGAAAACTGGTTATCTTTGCAGAATAGTGAAACTGGGCCCTTATGTCTCACCATATACTAAATTAACATCAAAATGGATCAAAGATCTAAACGTAAAAACAGAAACATTAATCCTTTTTATTAAATAGCAAGTTTGCTCTATTTTATCTATTGTCAAATCCTCAGGTTCAACACAAAACTCAGTTCCAGCTCCAGGCATAAAAAAAAAAAAAGCAGAAAAGAGTACTTTGCAACCTGGATAGGGAAAAAACAGAGTGATGTGCCACTAAATATAGTGCCAAGTGGTTATGCCATGAAATCATTGTGAAATACAATGGGAGCACAGATAAGACAGCAATTAACTGATTAACTGCCTGGTGGATATGGAACTTTTTCACCAAAAAAGTATCATTTATGTTGGGTCTAGAAAGATCCACCAAGACAAGTATCCATGTGCTGCCTCCTGGGTATTTGGAACGTCCAGACCCAAGCAACCGAATATTTTATACTTTCCAGCTCTCTAATTTCTGAACAACAATTCTTGAAAAACTTGCTAATTTCTGTATTCAGGGTCAACATTCTTATCCTTCTGAAACAGAAAATTGGCTGCTTCCAGTATTCATACTGAGATATCCATGGGTATTTGTGTTATTTTGGTAGTTGCCTTCCAGAAATATAATGCATTGGCTTAAAATACGAGTCCACTAGTGGGAATTTCAAGCATGTCGGTAAGTCCGATGCAAGGCAGGAATACAGGAGATGGATCATTTGCACCAGCAGATAGACATTCTTCCCAGAACTTTCCTGTTCACATCTATATGTAAGCAGATGCTGTAAGAAAAAAAATCTATCACTGATTCTAAATACTCAGAAAAGGGATAAAAAGGGGAAAGTTTTTTTGGCTGTTTAAATGTAAGTTCCCAAGTCCCACATGGGGAAGGAGGACTGGGTGTGCTGGATGCTTGCCTGATGCTCAGCTTTCAGATTTACAAATGTGTTTTATCCCCAAACTGCTCCTGTGCTGAGGGCTAAGGTTTTACTAGCAGCATCCCTGGTTTGGGGTGAGGATACTTGGTGAAACTATGATTGTAAATGTAGTGTTCATAAAAAGTCTGGCAATTTGATAACTGAAAAGCCATTGTGATGCCAAAACCAGGGCTTCAAAGTGAAATGGCAGAACTGAGAGGCA